TGAGGGACCAGATGAGGGCGTTCCACTCGATGCGAGGGGATTGGGAAGATCGTGACCTCTCCGATGCCAAGGCGTCCGATTGCAGGGGGGACAGCGAGATCGAGCGATGTGCAGCGTGGTGGTTTGAGCATGGACATGCCACCCGGAGTTGAGCACCATCGCCATCCGTSTCATGCACTTGTGGAYGTYTGCCWCTCCAGCGGAGAGGAACTGGGCGGAGCACGAGCGCSTCMGCACGGCGAGGCGCTGCAAGCTTGGGTTCGCCAAGCTTGCACARCTKGTTSAGATTGCCACCAATCTCAAACTGGCCTCGTGCGCACGGCAGGGTGGTGRCTACATGTTGCCATGGGTWATGGGGACCGGTCGGGGGGGGACGGCGGCAAAKGAGGARGATRAGGAGGGARATGTGGAGCCCGAGGTGTGGGGAGCGCGACCTGATGGCAGTGTTCTCGAGCAGGAGATCCAGCGGCAGATTGTCGCTTTCCRTGASAGCCGACCGTCCAGAGCCCGTTCGGTTCGGGACGTGTTCGGCAGYAGAGCGAYGGAGCTGCGACCGTGGCCGGAGGKTGGGGATGATGTGGAYGCTGCTGCGGCARACGACGACATCGACGACGACTGGACTGAMGRTGATGACACKCCACTGAGTCGCGACCCGACGGCTGAGTGAGTGTACTTCACTTACGGTGGGGGTCGTGAYGRCATGGATTCATTCACATCAGTTATCACTTRTGATGTGYCGTCGACCGYGCAGGYGAGTGGCARCAGCAGAGCCGGCGGTGGTCGTGGAGGACGTTCGCATGCGGAGGTTYGCGTGGACGACTCGGGGGAGCAGCAACCAYGGGGAGGTCTTCGGCAGACAGGCAGGCGTTGGGAGGTTAGGAGCGACAGTGAGGCCGAGGTGGAGGCYGAGGATGAGGAGGTGCCCCTTCGTGATCRTCGCTTCTCTCCCTCCYATCATCCGATCTCTRCACAGCCCGAGGCACTTAGGCRTTCGGAGAGGTTGGCRTCGGCARCAGGCAGAGACCGGACACATGACGGCGAGGATYGTGGGGGGGAGAGGACTCCTTCCGACKCCGGTATCCGCCCCCGCTCACCGTCGRTGCTCCGCACACAGGACTTCGAGGACATAGGGCTTGGTGGGAGCTTGGGAGATTTCAGTGTCGAAGGAYGTCGACGTGCCTCACCGCAGGATGTGCGCACAGACGCRGACATTGAGCGGGGCCCTGTTGAGACTGAGRAGGAGAGGGATGCCCATTTRGACCGAGAGGAGGAGGAGCGGYTGAGGAGTTTGCCACAGTGGGAGGGTCGGTTCGCGTATCTTGACGAGCAGCSTCGGCAGAGSGACTTGGAGARAGGAGGGGAGGGGAGCCGTGATGTCGACGACTCGGGTGTCCCTGAGGAGGCGGTTCAGGGGGGGYTCGATTATGAGGGGCAGGATGCCGCYGCGGGTGTCCCTGAGGGGCAGGATRTTGTCATGGGCGGTGGGTCCCCTAGTGGGGGYCATGGCGACWGCRASACYGCGGGTGATGAGGAACAGGGTGYCGCAGTGCCCGGCAGAGGAGAGGGTGGACCCRGTGGASATGGGGATACCRCRGGTGTCGGTGGAGACGATGGACCRRACGGCGACGATGACGACGACCACGGTCCCAAGGATGATCCGTATAGGCTCGCCTTGGTGTTGAGGGACCCCACAGTGCCTCCCTTGCGCCCTGACGACACAGCGCATACTTTCTTCGACGCCAACGCTTTGGCGCATGCGTTGACGGATGACCCTTTCACACACGTGAGCCGCAAAAGCGGCAAGCAGCGGGCCCCTGGGAGGGTATATTCACCGCCGCCGTTTACAGTGCAGAGCCCTCACTGGTCGGGTTCGTCGCTTATCGGCGTTAGAGGGAGGGAGTCCGATGCGGGTGAGGTGGGGTTCGGCAGACGCAGCGACGGCGGCAGAGATAGTGCAGGATCGATGCCTCCACCGCCCGCACGGACTCCGGAGGCCAGGGTCGACACCGGGGACCGGACGGTGGCACCCGGAGTTGCGCACAGTGGCGGTTCCCCACCGCCAGTCCGAGGAGGTGTGGGTGGAGGATGGTCAGTTGTTCGTCGAATCGGGGACCGGTTGCGGGCGGAATACGACGCCGGGAGGGGCGTCTTCACGGGACGTACGCCTGTTCAGACGCAGGCTGCGGAGGGTGGGTCTTGACGTCCCAGCCTGCAGATGGCAGGCCGCATGCTTGGTTTGTAACGAGCAGAGACGAGGAGATCATTGGTCCTCGAGGCCGCAGGGACATCCGCGGACAGGCTGCGGGGAGAGCAGTTCACATCGGGCGAGGAGGGGTTGTTGATGCGTCCCAGGACGAGACGACAGCATGGCCTCTCGGAGGTTGAGGCTCGACTCATTGCAGGGATCGCCGCTGGGCAGGCAGCATTGGACGCGATTCAGAGAGAGAGAGAGGGGGGGATTGTGGCACAGGCGGAGGAGGACGAGGACGCAGACACTGAGTTCGAGCCGATCGAGTCTGCGGCCCGCAGACAAAGGGCACAGGTGGCCGCGGCRGCCGCTGCAGCACATGCGGCATACGTCAGCGGGGCACGGGGCACAGGTGCCGGAGGGAGAGGAGGGCGCCGGGGAGGACCGCATGGCCGCCAGTCCTCCGGGAGAGGCCACGCGCGCTCTGGTGGGAGATGACGACGTCCGTGGTGTTTGTTTGTTTTTTTCATTAGTTTTTTTTTGTTTTTCGCGTGGCTGTACAGCCTGGACGCTCTGTCGGCAGGGTTATTGCATATTTATGTCGATGTTGTTCCATGGAGACGACGACTTCTCGAACCTTCCCGCCCACGACCTTTCCCGTACAACGAGGATAGGATACGTGTCTGCGAGTGGGACGTACGAGAAGTTGTCGCCAAGATCGGTAACCCTTTTCACTTCCCTTCCAAAACACGGTGCTCAGGATTCGTCAATGAGGGCTTTGTGATTGTTGATACCCATTTCCCTCCCTACTCTGTTTTGCTCCTCTTTAACAAGTTGATTGTCATCTCGTGACCGACATTTGCTCCTTATTGGCCTCGCACATGCAACGATTGTCGCCGCACAGAGGGCTTTGAAGCCCAAGGGGTTCAACTATCGAACATGTGGCGAGGAGGAGTTCAAAGAAAAAGTAGTGAGACTGCGACCCTCCCACTCATATTTCAAGCTTTGCGACGAACGTCGTCGGTTCCTCGTTCGGAACCGAGATCCGATGTGCGTTTCCCTTCCTTTCAGACCAGGAAAAGGGCGTCGCGGGATGAAGTTCAAAGATTTTATTTGGATTAGATGAACAGTCAGGAAGAACTCTCTTGTGTTTTTCCCGCTTTTGTTCGTCACTCCATATCTGGGACCTATTGTGCACGCTGGCCGTGGCCGTGTTCGGCCCAGGCCGCGGCCGACCCGACCGAGTTTTTTCGGCCTTGGTGTCGGCCATTCTGGGGGGTGGTTTTAGAAGCGGGGAGCGGGTTCGGGGGGGGGGGGTGGGGGGGCACCCCCTCAAAGTGACAGGGCGTCAAAAAAAAAAAAAACGGGGGGGTCCTGCGCAAGACCCTGGCAGGGTGGCCCGCGAACAATCCCGCGGCCCCCGTGTGCAGGTTCGTCGATGCGGGGTCACGGGGAGGAGGGTCTGGAACAGTGGAAAATATAAAAAAAATATTTGACCCCTGCGGGGGCGGCCCAACGTGGGTTGGATGAGGGCCTGGTTGGGGCGGGGCGTGCAACCAGGCCAGGGCGAAGCTAGACGGGGCTGAAGATGGCAGACCCCAGGCGGATCAGGGCCTCACGCACTGAAAGGTAGGCGTCGGTTTCATTAAGGAGGGCGATGACAGTTCGTGGCTTATTTTAAAACAACACATTCATGGCAATCATAAGTCAGACCCTGTTTGGCATACCAATGTCAAAACACATTGAAAATCAATCACAGTGCGGCGAACCACAAGTTTCAACAATGATAACAGGCAAGTGTGTCATAGTGTGTGTTCACTCATGAGACTGATGGACATTCATTAGCACATCATTTATGTAAGAACACATTCATTAGCACATCATCCCTATGTCGCATATGAAATTAACAGCACATTCATAATGGAGGCATCCATGACATGCAGGTGCATGGCATCGGAGAAGCACATAATTTGCAACAATCACGACAACAGAGAAGAAAACAATCACCAAACAACAGCGACTCAGATGCAAGACCAATGTTGGCGGAGGAACAAAAACAAGAGAAAATATATGACAAATCATTTCAATGGAAATGCGTATGTACAAGGCTGAAGCCAAAAACTGGACCCGTAGTCTCTACTGTACAACCGAGTAGCAAAAAAAAACTGGACCCATCATCTCTGCTACACAACAGAGTAGCAAAAAAAAATTGGACCCGTCGACGGGCGTCGTCTCTACTGTACAACCGAGTAGCAAAAAAAAAAAAAAAAAACCCTAATGTCCACATACTGTCGGGTGGAATGCGAACCTGCACGACCTTGTGACAGGAGTATCATGCAAAATTCAAATCCAGAAGGGTATTTTGCAAACTTTGGAAATGTCAGAGGGATATTCCGCTTTACCCTGATCTTTTAGGGGTCTTTTAGCATATAAGCGAATTTGAAGCGGTATCTCACAAATTTTCTCGGAGTCCCCTATCTACGATCTTTCAAAGAAGAGAAAAGACCCTCGCACCACCACTCTCCACTGTCCAAAATTCAAAACAAGTTTTTTTTTTCCATGGTGAGCGCCCATGTTTATGAGTTTTTGAAAAATTCTTAATCTTTTCGAAAGTTAGTTGGTAAGCAATCTCATTTTCATCYGGATTGATTTTTTGAATTTAATGCTATTGTAATTCGTACTTGCGTGGAATTTTCCAGTCTTAGTGTGGTTTTGCAAACAAAGAAGGGGAAGGTCGAATTAGAGGCATGTGGGAAGTGGGGGGCTCACTCAGAAGAGGGATCGGCGGTTCAGAGGTGGTCTAACTAGAAGGGTGGGGTGGGACGACATTGGCCGGTGCTGGAGCATTTGTTTTGTGACCCGGGGGAGCCTGAGGCCATTGAAGTTGTGCCGAGGGTGGAAGGCATAACCATCTCGCCCGAYGTAGCTGTTGCCGGGGCGGTGACCCAGTAACCTTTTGAGGGGCCATACAGTTAAGAGAGGTGTCGAAGGGGGAAGGCACTTTCTGTCCACCGGAAACAGTTAGATCGGTACTGGGGCAGTTTGTGTTGCCTTGTAACCTTAGCAGGGGGGTATGAGATCTGATGATTTCTGGTATGAGGACTGAAAGCTTGGTCGGCGTGGCCTTCATCGGTGGTGAGGGTAGGAGTTGGATTGTTAGTGGTTCTAGTTCTTGTCCTTTCTCCTTTTGTTTCTTCAATTGGAGGGTGAAAGTTTGAACTACGGTTTGGAAGAAATTTTGGGTGGGCTCGCGCAGTAGAGGAAGGGTGGGTCAGGGTGGTAAGTCTACTAGAAGGACGGGGTGGGGCGACAKTGGTCGRTGCTGGAGCAGTGGCTCTATGACCAYGGGAGGAGCCTGAGGCCATTGAAGTTATGCCGAGGGTGGAAAGGCATAACCACCTCGTTCAACATAGCTGATGCTGGGGCAGGACCCTGTAACCCGGTAGGGGGTTTGCAGCTAACGAAGTTGTCGAGTGAGGAAGACATTTCTTGTCCGTCAGAGACAGTTAGTTCGGTGCTGGGGCAGTTTGTGTTGCCTTGTAACCCTAGCAAGGGGGGTGTGAGAATTGGCAACTTCTGGTACGAGCACTAAAAGCTTGAGCGGCGGTTTCTCGCCTGTAGTGAGGGTTTACCTTGGATTGGTGGTGGTTTTAGTTCTGTTTTTCGTTTCTCTAATTTTCATAATTCAATCCTGAGCATTCAAAAAAAAAGAGGTAAGTCTAGAGAATGCCTAAGGACTCTGGGTACTTTTTGCAACTCATTTTAGGYTTTCTCTAATGTTGTTATATTCATGGATGTGCGGTTTTCCGATGCCAGAACGACGCTGGCCGTAGCTGGGGGGTTGCCCTGTAACCTGTTGATAGCRGGAGTGTGAGGCCTGGTAGAGAGATATGGGGATGCCTTGGGTCGGGCATTCCAAGGGAAAACCAAGGGTTGCTGTCGGTGCGAAGCTGGCCAGAGCTGGGGTGAGTTGTGTTGCCCTGTAACTTAACAGGATGGGGGCATTAGGCCGGGAAAGCTCGCCAGGGAATAAGACTGTGTTGGAGAATTTCAGAATGTTTTGTTGGGGATCCCAGGGGTGCTGAGCATTCAAAGGGCTTATGTGGTTTTCTATTTGACTGACTGAGTACTGTTTCAGTAGCCTGGTAATAGGTTAGCGAGTTATCCATGTTTTCCTAAATTTTCCAGAACCTTTTTCATAGTTCTTAGGTTGTTCTTAGCCGAAGCCAGGTAATGGCCGTGGTATCTCAAATCATTTCTTGAATCATTTGTATAATTCTATATGGGATGCTGGCCCGGTTCCCAGCATGTGTTGCTCCCTACGAATAGATTGGATCTCTTTGTCCCCAAAAAAAAAAAAAAAAAAAAAAAGCCGCTCGGTTTCCTGTTAGCTCTTTTACCAAATCCACAGTGCATATAAGTTCCGGCCATGGTGCTTCAAGTGCAGAGCATACGATCACCTGACGACGGAATCGGTGTGCCCCCAACATCCCAACAAGAGGGGCCCTAAAGCTGGCCGGCTCCAGCAAGACCCGCGCAGACCCAACAGATGGATCACAGCGGACCGGGGTCATGAAGGATGGGTGTACCTAGAAGACCTAGACCCCGAAGGCCGAACCAAAGGTTGGACCTGGGAAGGACAGGGGGACCTCTGCAGAGCGACACAACCGCCCAGCGAATGGGCACCCGCCCCGAGAAAGGCGCCCCAAACGATTGAAAAGGCCCCGCAGCCCGCCAAGCCTCCGGATGCAGAGACATTTGTCCTCAAATCACCGTAGTCTGCTGAATTTCCGGATGCACAGACACTTATCCTCAAACCACCCCTCCGCTCCCAAGGAAATGACAAACAATCCAAACAACTAAAGAAACAACCCTAAGGGAGACCAAGGAATCAGAAGTGGGGACCGACAGCAATGGAGTACCTGCCAATAGGAAAACGGATAAACGAGAAAAGGCACGAGGCACAACAACAGGGGGAACCCGGCCCCTCGCAAGAAACACTTGCCCCCCTCCCCTTTGAGCCAATGAAAGAAAATACGGCAAAAGGTGGAGGCCACCCCCGGGGCCACACACAACAGGATTCCGTCGACCTGTTCAACGAAGCCTTCGGCTTAGTGCCGATGGAGATAGAAATCATCCTTGGGTCTCTCCCCCCCCCCCCCCCCCCCCCCCCCCCCCTCCGCTACCGGAGGTGGAGATGACTGACGTTCAAGAACAGGGCACAGACCAGCCATCCCAGACAGCAA